CTTTGCCTGACTCCTGCAGCAGCTACTTCATCTCGGAGGGTCCTCTCCCAACAGCCGATTGATGACCGGTGACCGCCACAGCCTCCTCTCCCCGCACAGCCGCCCATACATTCTACTGCTACGGGTGGCAGAGCGGCGGGGGAGGGAGGGGGATTTGCATGAAGGAGCTATGGGCCCTCTGCTTCCTCTCTGGGCCCCCCCAACAGGCGGAACTCCTCGGCTAACGAAGGGAAGCACGAGTGTGGTGACGTCACGGACATCGACGTCACCGGACTCCTCCCCCCTTCCCTACGTTAGCTGATGGAGCTACTTGGGGAAGGGGGGGAGTTCGGTGACGTCGATGTCCGTGACGTCACCGGATCTCCGACGGAACTCTCGGAAAACCCGGAAGCCGGCGGAGAGGTGAGTACCAATCAAAAGAATTTTGATCGATCAAAAAAATGTACGATTAATCGAGGGATTAATCGTTAATTTCCGCAACCCTATTTTAAAGTAAACCCATCAAGAGAGAAATATGGTGGCTGCTATTGTTGATCACTTTCTGAATATGGTGGATGCCTGACTGTTACACTTGCATACTGACTGGCTTCCGTACTGTCTGAGTCACTATCCTAAAGGTGCTAAATGTCAGAAGTCTTTGTCTGCAGGAAATGAGCGTTTTCAGTAAGAGGTATTACTATTCATGTCTGTAGATCTAAATGTGATGAATTGCTTGACAAAACAGCACCATTATCATATGTGATCTATACCTATTACATTTCCCACAGTATTACATTTGCTTCCTACATTTAATAACTCTAATGTCTAACAGCTATGTGTCTCTAAACTATACATTTGGGTGTTTTTTAAAGGAATTTTAAAGACAATGGCAACCTCTGAGTACATTCTTTTACTCTTACCATCTTTCTGTGTGGTATATTCAATGCGGTACATGGTGATGTGGCCATTGGTCAGCTCAGGCTGAAGAGGCAGCCATTTAACATGAATATCTTCAGGGGTCTCACTGTTCACTGACAACATGGGGGCAGCTTTTGGTACTAATGAAGAGATTGACAATCAGTAAATTTCATAGAGGCATTATAAAACCGTGTTAGGCACATGTGACCCATTAATGCCAATACTCCGGGATTCCCCCACCACCTGCAACCACTCAGAGGCAGCAGCCCTTGTTGTCATTTTCATGACGTGGCAGACCATTGCCTCTGCTGGTAGAATGGAGCTCACAGAGCTGCAGTATATCTGGAAAGATATTCACAATACCATTTTTGAAGATGGCGCTGCAGGTAAAAAGTGCAATTACAACTCATGGTTACATAGATTTAAAGAAACCTGTGTTGAGCGAATATAAAGCGAACATTGTTGACCTTTCCTTCTGAAAATGTTAGCTGTGTTTCAGGCTGCTGGCTTCAATATTTTCTGAAGTACTAAACTGGGACAAGCATGCAGATTAGGATTTCAGACTGCACTTTCTAATCTGTATTTTTATTCCAGTGCAGTGGTAGTATTGAAGGCAGTGACACCCAGGCATTCTTATTCTGTACAGATTTCCTTTAGGGGATATGGAAGGAAGGTACTCCCACAAAATAACACATGGAGTAGTCAAAAACATATAATATTTTTTTCATGAAAATAGTAAAGTCAATAGCTAAATTGGGTGACCATGGAATAGGGGGAATTTATTATTTCAAAGTAAAAAATTGATATATTTTGCCCAAGGAGCTTTGTGCAGGAATACACTGATATATCAGCATGAAAGGTCCACCCTGAAAAAGGTCTGCTTGACTTACAATAGCATCAGATAACTGAGATACGAACTACATCACCTCCCATTCAGTTAAATCTGGCTTCCTTCTTTTGCTTATCTTTTGATGGGAAATTGTCAAGGGAAGCAAACCTGGAATTGTTGAGAGGCAAATAGCTGGGGTAGCATCAGTGTCTATATTTCCTTATTTATATAGGAGGGCAAATGCAGTGATAGCATGGCAAAAATGGTCTATTATTGGAGGTGTACAATTAAATGGAAGAATGGTATTTTTTACCTTTCTGTTAAAGGTTCACAACATATAAGGGCTCTGGCATGGTAAATCCAAGCATTAAATAAAATTTCATTTTGGACCTTTACGCTTAATTAGCATAAAGACCGACATAAAGATGTCCAACAAGCATCACTGCAGTGTGCTAAGTAGTTCCAAGCCCAAAATCTACTTACATTTTAGAAGCAGTCACCCTATAGGATCCAATGAATCATCACCCCATGCAGTTATGTTTCCATGGCCAAGCAGGTTAGGATGTAGAAGAGTTTGGTGCCTTAGTGATCTGACATGCTGATGGACAGTTTAGCTTGTCATAGCTAATTCAACCTCAGCCCTACCATCTAGTGCTGCCATAGTATTAGGAAAACTGAATGAAGACACACAGAACCATGAGCCATAATCATGGCACTACCAAAATACACTATAACTATAATAAATGGAATACGCAGGTACAGTATCAACCTCCCCTAGACTTCTTCTTCACTTCCCCCCAACGGTAAAATACAAGTGTGCATTACACTTGTTCCCAAAAATTTAGCTTGGAGCAGACAGCATAGAACAACTCTAGTTACCGTCATCCCTTGTCCGTACCACAAGGGGCTCTGAGGCACGGCTGGCTCCTTGTTGGGAATAAGCTACAACATAAAATGAATAATTGGTCCCTGGCTCCAGGTATTTCACATTCAGCTCCGTGGTGTCATTATTGACTGCAAACTGGTACTCCATATTTTCAGTACCTGTAAGAGATAAGAAGAAAGGCTTAGAGGAGCACACAACTCTACTGTACGTATTCTGTAAGTGAATTCCAGGATATACGCACCCCCTGTCTTAGTATAATGCAGAGAGAAACGAATGACCCTCTCCCAGTTGCTCTGTGGTCTCTCCCAAGTCACAGTGACTGTCTTGCTGGTCACAGCCAGGGCTCTTAAGTCTTGTGGTGGACCAGGCAGAGCTTCCTGCACTATCACATGGAGTCTAGTTGTAGCAAAAGCACTGCCCAGTATATTCTTGGCCACACACTGATAATATCCAGCATCCTCCAGATCAATCTGTGTGATCACCAGGCTGCCCGTTGGCTGAATCCTCACTCTCTCATTTGAAAAAAGTTGCTTTCCATTTTTTAGCCAGGTGATTATGGGGTCTGGATCTCCTGTAGCACTACATAGAAAATGAGCAGTGCCAGCCTGTTCCCGTGTAATGATCTCTGAAGGTTGCGTGATAGAAGGGGGTACTGTAACAGGACAAAGATGTAAAAAAGCATTATGAGTAAATGAACTGCGCCCCAAGTAAAAGAGCAAACAGTATCATGTTATGAGGATGGTATAAACTGTGATGTATGTGGAATGTTACAAAACCTTGAATAAGCAAGCTCTAAAAAATGTGTTCATGTTCTTGCATCATTCCAGCTCCCATAGCTTTTCCCAGCCCGCTGCATGTTTTTGGTTGCAATATGGCATGACTTTGTATAGAACTAATAGGGTGGCAATAACTTGGATTGCTATGGTTTGCTGGTCATGTGACATCAGCAATGTACCCCATTCCTGACTACTGATCTCTGTGTGCCTGAAGTGCCTTAAAGTTTTATGAGACCTTCAAAGCAGTGAGTGAAAGATGAATCCAAAAAGTAGCCTTGCTATAATAAAATAAGATATCTCCAGAATATATCCAGACCATGACTGCACCAAACACTGGCAATAGCAAGTCTGCAATGTAATATTACAAACATGTTAAATTGGATATTATTATAAAGCCATGTCACCTTCAACACTACTGATGACTACATTGTGGAAGGTGCACATACTACAGTCAATGTTTCCTTTCTTATGGGGCATGGGGCAGGAGGTTACTTTGTTCAGTGAAGCTATGTTTGTTTAATTTTCAAAGGGTTTCATTAAAGCTTTAACATTTAAAATGTAGCATTTAAAGGAGTACATGCATTAGAAGTGTAGAGCAGAATGAGGGTTACACGATCCCAAAAGCGATCACAAGGAAAGGATTGATGACATTAGGTTATGAGTGGTGATAACATAATTATAGTGAGTAATCAAATATACCCAGTTTCAACATCCAAAAGGGGAAAGAGACAAAGTTGTTCAGGAAGCCCATTGTGGCTTTTCGGGGTGTAAACAAGAGTCAAAGCTATGTTTGTTTAATGTTTCATGCAATGGATGAGGAAGCGTCTATTTTTTAAATGTCTTTGGCATATAACTTGTTGTTAAGCTTGGAGCAAAAATTACTCCTTTGTGAGTACCAATACAACTACCTTTATTTTAAGGACATTTCGGAGATGTCAATCTTGACTTGTGACACGGCAATGTTAGATTGCCACATAGAATGTGTGGGAGATCCCCAAATATTCACACACCTTGTGTCTGGTTGACTCTGTCTAGAGTGCGCTGCAGTGCCCAGTTAGAGGGTGCACCATATCCTGCAGAGGTGCTGGCTGAAATCCGCACTTTATATACAGTGCTGGGCTGCAGGGAAGAGAGCGTAACCCCAGTCTCATTTCCTTTAACTTCCACAATGGAGACCACGCCTGAGGGGGACATAACAAGGACAGGAATATCACAACATTGGAAGAATTCGAGCAATATCTGAAACCAACAAGTTCTAGAGAAACACTTGGGTTTAAGCAAACCATAATGCAATAAGCACAAAAGTGTAGTAAGCCATGATAACTGCACTCCTTTGTTGTTGTTTTTTTATGACAAGTGCATGTGCATCAAGATCATTCTTGTAAGGCAACTCTATCAAGAGAGAAATATGGTGGCTGCTATTGTTGACCACTTTCTGAATATGGTAGATGCCTGACTGTTATGCCAACAAACTGATTGGCTTCCTAGGTATTGGACGCCATATTTCTCTCATTACAGTTTTTTTAATGTCAAAACATGTTTTCCCTGTTCATGTCTATATATCTAAATATGATATTTTTTGCTTGACAAAATAGCACCAATATTATATTTAATCTGCACTTATTACATTGCCCACAGTATTACGTTGACTTCCTACATTCAGTAACTCTAATGTCCAATTGCTATATTTCTCTAAACTATGCATTTGTTTTTTTACAGCAATTTTAAAGACAATGACAACCTTTGAGTACATTATTTTACTTTTACCATCTTTCTGTGTGGTGTATTCAATGCGGTATTTGGTGATGTGGCCATTGGTCAGCCATTTAACATGGATATCTTCTGGGGTCTCACTATTCAGTGACAACATGGGGGCAGCTGCTGGAACTAATGAAGAGATTGGCAATCAGTAATTTGCATATATTAAAACTGTATTAGGCACACGTGACAACTCAGATACTTAGGGATTACCCCACCATCTATAACCATTCAGATGCAACAGCAAGCTCCTTCTCCTGTTTTTATTTCCATAGCAGGCAGAACACTGCCTCTGCTGATACAATGGAGTTCACACAGTTTCTGTGTATCTGGAAAGGCACCCACAATACTATATTTAAAGAAGGTACTGCAGGTTAAAAGTGAATTTACAACTCATGATTACATAGATTTAAGGAAATCTGTGTTCAGCGAATACAAAGGCTGCCATTGCTGACCTCTCCTTCTACAAAATGCCCATTGCATTTCAAGCTGCTGCAATTGCTTCAAAAGTTTCTGAAATACTGAACTGGGACAATTATGCAGACTGGGATTCAGACTGTACTTTCTAATCTGCATGCTTATTCTGGTGCAGTAACAGTATTGAAGGGAGATACATCTAGGCAACCCTAGTTCTCTCAGTACAGATTTATTTTAAGGGTATATGGAAAGAAAGTTCACCCACCCCATATTAACACATAGAGGAGTCAGAAGCACATACTTTTTTTATGAAAATAGAGAAGTCAAAAGCTAAATTGGGTAACCACAGGAGAGGGGAGTGTTATATTTTCACATGAATATACTTTGACCAAGGTGATTTATGCAACTCTCATTCAGTCAAGTAAGGTTTCCTTCCTTTGCCTATCTCTTGACTGGAAATGATCAACGTTGGCAAACCTTTAATTGTTGAGAGGCAAACTATCATGGATAGCACCAGTGTCCTTGTTTCCTTATTTAAATAAGACACAATGTAGACACAGGGAAAGCAGGGTAAAATGGTCTATTTTCAGAGGTGCACAATTAAATGGAAGAATGGTCTATTTACCTTTCTATTAAAGACTCGCAACATATAAGGGCTCTGATGCAAGCATTAAAGAGAATTTCCTTTTGGACCAGTAAGCTTAATTTGCACAAGGACCCAAAAAAATGTCCAACAAGCATCACTGCAGTGTGCCAAGTAGTTCCATGTATAAAATCAATTTAATTTCAGAAGCACTCACTCCATAGAATCCATATAAACCTGAGAGTTAATTAAAGGAGAACTATGGGGTCAGGGCTTTTCCCCCGTAGTTCTCCTTAGGGTAACTGGAGGACACAAACTAGCGTCCTCCCGTTACCCTAAGCTCAGTATACCGCGAGCTACAGCTCGCGGGATACTGAGACGCCGCAGCCGGAGCGGATCCCGAGATCCGCCCAGCTGCGTGAGTGACAGCTGGCTCTGCCTATCTAGAGGCAGAGCCAGCTGTACCCGCCCCCTCCCCCGTCCGTTCCGCCAGTCAGCGCTGGCGGATCGGAGCGGGGAGTGGGGAATCCAGCCCCTCCCTTGTCACGGCAGAGAGCTGTGACAGGATCGAGAGGTGAGCGAACGCCGGTATCTGTTTGCTCACCTCCCGATCTACTGAGCCGACCTGTGACAGTCTCATTGTCACAGGTTGGCTACAACTGTGAGGTGAGTGGAAATCAGTTCTCCTTTAAGCTATGCTTCTTGTAACTATGAAATCCTTCCTATTGTAAAATGAACCTCCACCCAATGCAGAGATGCTTCGCTGGCCAAGGAGGTTGAGGTGTCGAAGAGTTTGGTGCCTTTGTACTCTGGCATATTGATAGACAGTTTAGTGTGTCTAATTTAATTAGCCCCCAGTCTTACCATCTATTGCTGCCATAGTACTAGGACACCACAGGTGTGCATTAAACTTGTCCCCAAAAACGTAGCTTGGAGCAGACAGCATAGAACAAATCCAATTACCGTCATCCCTTGTCTGTACCACAAGGGGCTCTGAGGCACGGCTGGCTCCTTGCGGGGAATAAGCTACAACATAAAAGGTATAATTGATCCCTGGCTCCAGGTATTTCACATTCAGCTCCGTGGTGTCATTATTGACTGCAAACTGGTACTCCATATTTTCAGTACCTGTAAGAGATAAGAAGAAAGGCTTAGAGGAACATGCAACCCTACTGTGCATATTCTGTAAGTGAATGTCCAGGATATACGCACCCCCTGTCTTAGTATAATGCAGAGAGAAACGAATGACCCTCTCCCAGTTGCTCTGTGGTCTCTCCCAAGTCACAGTGACTGTCTTGCTGGTCACAGCCAGGGCTCTTAAGTCTTTTGGTGGACCAGGCAGACCTTCCTGCACTGTTACATGAAGCCTAGTTGTAGCACAAGCACTGCCCAGTATATTCTTAGCCACACATTGATAATATCCAGCATCCTCCAGGTCAATCTGTGTGATCACTAGGCTGCCCCTTGGCTGAATCTTTACTCTCCCATTTGAAGAAAGTTGCTTTCCATTTTTTAGCCAGGTGATTATGGGGTCTGGATTTCCTGTAGCACTGCATATAAAACGAGCAGTGCCAGCCCGTGCCCGTGTAATGACCTCAGGAGGCTGCGTAATGAAAGGGGGTACTAAAACAGACAAAATATGAGAAAAAGCATTATGAGTAAACTGTGCCCCAAGTAAAAACAATTGAAACTAAAACAGTATCAGATTATAAGGCTAGTATAAACAACGATGCATGTAGAATATTACAAATCAGAACCTTAAGGTGAAATACCAAACATTTTCATAACTTTCTTTATATGTATGTTGGCTGGCTACAAACAAATGTATCCCTGTTCTTGTGTCATTCCAGCTCTCCTATAAAAATTGGCAATAACTGCCATTAGTATTAGTATGATTGCTGTTTAGCTGTCATAAAGCCCTTAAATAAACCACACTACAAAACGTAAATAGATCCTGTCCCCAGATCCTTAATTATTACTAATACAACATAGCAATTGCATTTAATATTTAATTACTACCCGCTGTATTTTATGGGATGTTCCTTGCAAGTCTTCATATATGCAAGGGTACAAGAGGTGATTAAAACACTGATGGGCATTGCCAATGTCCCCAGCAGTCCCAGAGCTGTCACTTTGCTGACACTCTCTACCAATCCTACACATGCACAGAATTGCTGAAGAAGTTTTCTACATGCAGTGGCTGCACCTTTGTTCCTTAGCTGTCATGACTAATGTAGAACAGATGTCCCAATTCCCTTGATGTCAAAACCTGCTGGAACCACCAACTCCCCACTTCATCCAAATAACCAGACTACAAGTTTGATGGAATTAAATGCCATAGCAGCCTTTTTTTTATACAAAATATTAAACATGACAGAACTGTAAATGCAAGCATGAGGTTTCAAGGTCTTTTGAAGGCCAAAATGACTAACAGATATGCTGTCTCTGCGGAAATCCTTGACAGCCGCACCACACCGCCTCGGGGACAACCTGCATATTGACCACAGACACATCCATATCTAAATTACCTGTTCGACTAGTATATATCACCATGACTTGAGGACCTATACCAAGACAGGTTCCCAAACATTAACCAAAAGCACCTCTTTGTTTCAGCCTTCAAAAGACCCCAAACCACCAACACTGCTATGACAGTAAACAGACCACAAACATTGAATAACAGGGTGGGAAGTTCTCTCTTCATCCAACGATCTCAGACTAAAGCTAGTGAGACCCTCCTGCTCAGACCACCACAAAGGCTCCGCCCAAAGTTTGAACCTGACCAATTGGTAAGTGACCCTGTCCTGTTAACACGTCCCTTATTTACCTCTTTAATCCTTATTTTCCCTCCTCACTTAGTCATGTAAGCCCTTCGCCTACTTTTTTTTTTTTTTTGCTTCGGGCCTAACTGAGCCGCTGTCTGTCCTGGGAGAAATTGTAAACAAAGGCACAGCGGCTGCACCTTTGATTACAATGGTTGTCAGAGCCACGGTTTGTTTTTGGAGCCCAGACACAGAAGTGCATTGGCTGTGCAAGGTTACTGCTGCTATAGGCTGCCTGGAATTAGATCTTCTCAGAAACACAAGTGACAGAATGTATACATTTGTTGTAGGAGCCAGTCTGAAAATGTTTAGCCAAACAGTGCCTGCAGCCAAAAAGATGTAAGCACTGTCCGGGTGTGCAACAGCTGCCGGAGCATACAATAGTCCCGCAAGGAGGATTCCTCCATCCATGTTGTTCATCGTAGAAATAAGAATCTGATTTTTTGTGTTCAGCCTGCAGTGTATGGCCAGACTTACTGTAGAAAAAAGGGTAACTTTTATTCTATGACCCCCATTGTTTTTAGAATCAGTGAGCAAAACAAGCGTAAATAAAAAGAATAAAAAAATGAATGATATAAAAAAATTAAATAAAAGTTCTAACCCTTTCAACACTCCAAAACAAACAAAACTAAAAGGCTAGAGATACACTTTAACCAATGTATAATACCATCTATGAACAGGTGATAACAGGGTGATGATTGATATGCTCAGTATATTTGCTAGCAATGAGACTCATTCTGCTACTATCAATAGAAAAATATCATAGTAAAGCACTTATACATCACTTTCCTGGCAGCATACATGTGGCAGGGCTGCTACCACATGTATGCTGCCATGGATTGACGCCAGGAAAGGATAATTATAGGTATGATAAAGTTTTCCATTTTAATGGTGCCAACATGGCAGTATACATGTGGTGGGACTACTACTACCAGATTTATGCAAATCCCGGTCAGGACACTATCTGCAAGGAGTTTGCATGTTCTCCATCTGCTTGCGTGCGTTTCCTGCGTGTATTCCGGTTTCCTCCCACACTCCAAACATATACTGGTAGTTTAATTGGCTCCTCTCCAAATTGTCCCTGTATGTATGCATGTGAGATAAGGACCTTAGATTGTAAGTGCCTTGAGGACAGGGACTGATGTGACTGTGCACTGGCAATACTCAATATCCCAGTCAGAACACTATCTGAAAGGAGTTTGCATGTTCTCCCTGTGCTTGTGTGGGTTTTCTCCGGGTACTCCTTTTTTTTTCCCACACTCCAAAGACATGTTAGAAACTTAATTGGCCCCCGACAAAATTGGCCATAGTATTTCTATACAATAGGGAACTTCTATTGTAAACTCCCTGAAGACAGGGACTGATGTGCATGTGCAGTATGTAAAGCGCTGCGTAAATTTTCGGCGCTATATAAATTTCTGTAATAAATAATAAATAAATATATAAAGCAATCTGTCAGTAATAAATATGCTGTCATGGATTGGCGCCAGGAAAGGATATTAATGGGTAAGTATGGCATCAATATGATAACATACATGTGGTAGTAGCCACACCACATGTATGCCAGTGGAGTCACAAGGGGGGTGCGGCCCGCACCCAGGGGCCACCCCCTATGAAAAGTCGGGCACTCGGTCATGGACTGAGACCCGACAGAGTAAGGCGAGAGGAGGGTGAACGTCCCCTCCTCTCTCTGCCGGCGTCCATCACCAAGATGGCCTCCGGCAGGCGTCAATAGGATGACTGCACATGCGCGATGACGGTGACATTACGGCGAGGGGTCACGTGGCCTCGGGACTCCCCTGATGTATGCTGCAATGGATTGGTGCCAGGAAAGGAAAATTACAGGTAGGTATGATACAATTTTCCTTTCTGTGTACAGGGTTCACCTGCACAGCCTAATGCTGGCCATACACATGGCAATTTTACACGAATTTCAATTGCAAAAACAATTGAATGGATTGACCCAACCTACTGCCATCCCTGCCATATAGATATGCAAGCTTTTACACTGTTGTCAGTAGGATATCATGATCCATTTGAATTTAAAAAAAAATCTAGATAAAAGTGGTTGAATTTGCCTGAAAATTGGCAGTGGTGGGTGTGTGGCCAGCAGATGGGTAAGAGAAAAAGCAAACATAGAATGGTGGCACCTTGGAGCAACAGCCATATTCTTAACACTACTGCCTACTTCTAGTGTGCAATTGGGATACAGAGAGGTAAGTTCTGTGTGGTTCCCAGAGAACCAGCCTGTCGCAGACCTCATCTGCCATTTTCTAACTGCTTTCTGGGGGCAGATAGGGAGAGGGGAACTACGATATTCACTTATGTTTACTCTTAGGATTTAAACTGCTTACTTTGTTAGACCCCAAAATTGATTTATATGTGAATGTCATCTTCAAGGTTTGACAGATATTGATGTTTACAAACCGTGGAAGTCAATAACCACAGTAGCAATCATTTCAAGCATTCTGGAAAATATGTGCCACTTATTATATTATTGATTTTTCCCACTTCAGCAGAAGAAAAATTACCAATGCTTTTCAATAGGTAAGTATTGGATAGAATACGATACATGGTGGAATGAAAATCTGCAGCTGCTTTCTGTGCTCATGAGCCAGCATGGAGATCTGCACCCAGGTAATTGTTGATTTTCCCCCTATTTCCTCTCACCAAGTATTTGTAGCTGGGCTGAAGCGGTCACAAAATGCTGACTGTGTGGGTAGCTGGCTCTGCACAAATAAACTCCAGCATGATGGGCCTGAGTGTGCTTGATCAAGAGGTTACTTTCGCCAAGCAGGATGATATCAGAGGAGAGGGGATTGCCATCTGCAGAACAAACAGAAGCTAGATGAGAGTAGGTCACATTATGTAATCGGTCATAGCTGCAGAATAATATTTAAAGCTGAAATCCGGGATAAGCAAATTTTGTCTAAATGCAAGAGCCGTGTGTATTCATACTTGAATCTTTGCAGCAACACAGTGTGAAACTTTACTTCTGTGCAAGAACTTCCTGCAGTAAAGATCAGTTTCTGCCGCTCTCTTCCCTTGTGTAGGGTGACTGGTCTGGTATCCTTCCCCCTCCTGCAGCTTTCTGCAGGCAGCCTGTAGAGGGTGGGGCTTCATAGGCTCCTCCCACAGCCCCCCATTCTGCACAGGCTATGTACAACACGGTGAGGATTTAATCGCTACCTTTACAAAATCATATTTGGGTTTGTAAAGACATTTGGTGCACACAAAGTGGATTTCTGTCCTTTGTGGCTATTGTGGAATATAATTGAATGAATTTGTTTGTGGCCAGAGTTCAGCTTTAAATTCCATGCATAGTCTATTTCATAACTGTCAATTGTGAATTAACCAATCACAGGTTAGTGTTTCAGAAAATCAAGTTAGATGACATGTATGATGCTCAACAAACATATTTTGATTGTTGGGTTGCCACCTTTTCTTCATGCTAAACCCAAACACTTTAGCTTTGTGCTGCAATCTTTTTCATGAGAATATACAGGAGAGAACGAGCAGAGACAGCCAGGAGAGAGCAAGGAGAGACAGCCAGGAGAGAGAGTGAGGAGAGACAGCCAGGAGAGAGAGAGCAAGGAGAAACAGCCAGGAGAGAGAGAGCAAGGAGAAACAGCCAGGAGAGAGAGCGAGGAGAGACTGCCAGGAGAGAGAGCGAGGAGAGATAGCCAGGAGAGAGAGTGAGGAGAGACAGCAAGGAGAGAGAGTGAGTGAGGAGAGACAGCCAGGAAAGAGAGCGAGGAGAGACAGCCAGGAGAGAGAGAGCGAGGAGAGACAGCCAGGAGAGAGAGAGCAAGGAGAGACAGCCAGGAGAGAGAGAGCGAGAGTGAGGAGAGACAGCCAGGATAGAGAGAGAGTGAGGAGAGACAGCCAGAGGAGAGATATATTGTTATATTGCATGCATTAAAGATAATAGGTGCATGTATAACAATTCCAGATAGGTATTATCATTCACAGAGTTCCCAATACCCCCCACCCCCATGTTAAACTCATCTCCTCCCTGTCAGCACTTCCAGGTGATGCAGCCAGTCAGCTAAAAGGTGCTGCCTTAAAGGGCTAGGTGACGCATATCTCTGCGCTCTGCCTGAAGCAGAACCCCTTTGCCCTTCAAGACTTATCTGCACCCTGTGTTTCAGACACCTCCTTGCTCCCCGTGCTAGAGCGTCCCTCCGTATCCCATGCCTCCTCCATGCACTCAAGTTGGAACACCAGGACCCTGTGGTTGCTCCTGTCAGCCTGACATTGTGACATCTTGTGTCTGGGTTTCAGCTGGCCTGAAACACAGACACAGCACAAATAGAATTCCAACCCAGACTGTACAAGTGAATCTCAGACAGGTGGCAACCCTATGGGGGAAAGACATGGGATCTCTCCTGGCTGTGAACACTTGTGCAGTGCCCGAGGGCCCGATCAGTCAGTCCACCACTAGAGGGGTATGGAGGAGAATGCGGGTCAGGGTATAGATGAGTATGGAAGGTAAGGCACATCAGAGTACACAGGGGTATGGAGAAAAAGTCAGGACGGGGTACAGAGGGGTATGGAGGGGAAGATAGGTCAGGGTACAGAGGGGTATGGAGGGGAAGGCAGGTCAGGGTACAGAATGGTATGGAGTGGAAGGAAGGACAGGGTGCAGAGGGGTATGGAGGAGCTCAGAAAGATGGAAACTGCGAGAAGCTTCTGGGGACAGGTCAGGGAGATGGGGGTAATTAGATGGACAGTGTTCTTTGGATTTGGGGATAGGTCAGGGGTTAAAAGAGGACAGACAGGTTGGGGTTTAGAGTTGTAATGGAGGGCATGTCCAAGACAGATCAGGATTCTGAGGCAAATTGGGGGGGGTCAAGGTTTAGAGATGTGGGGGGCAGCTGCCAGACAGGTTGGGTACAGATGCAGGAATGGCACCCCCTCAGAGAGAGCCATTACTGGAAACAGTCAGGTGCTGATCACAAATCCAAGTATGGACACCAATAAACCCCCACCCCCGCCATTAACACCTCAAGCGCTAGCCACGTATCTGTAACCTCCCATGAGAGCGCTGAGATATTCAGGCAGCCACACGCTCCACCAGGAGTGCGCCTATAAAGCAGCGTGCCCTTCTCCATGCATTCAACAACAGGACCCCATGGTTGCCCCTGTCCACCTAAAATTGTGACATCTTGGGTCCGGGTTTCAGCTTGCATAAATGTTATCAGAAAACTTATTTTTACATCTATACCGCTACCTCTAGTTGCAGCTATCAATTGGTACAGTCTCATAACAATGCAAATTGCCCAAAATCTGGATCTTTGGCTCTTACTTCAAAAAAGCCAAACACCACCTAACATCCCTACTCATAGAGTTTTACCTCAATGCATGCCGGCCAGAATCTAAAGCTTACCTTGCCGAAACCAGGAAACCACCGGCATCCCATTTCCCTCTGCTGAACACTCCATTACTGCACTTTGGCCCACCTCCCTGGTGAGGTTCTGTGGAGTTCTCGTTATTGCCAGTTCACCAGGGAAAGGTTTCAGATCTGTGTTTGTACATCCAAAGATTATGACAGGCACAAAGACATAGGTACATAGAAACACATCCTGCCTTTGTAAGCAAATACAAACTCCTCTTTCCAATGATTTATCAGAATAGGAGAGTTTCATCAAAGATATAGAAAATTACCTTAGGGTGAGTCATAGCGTGATGGTATATAAAGCATCCATACAGTCCTGGGTCCTAGTAACCTAACTGTAAAGAGTAATCAGGAAAGATCCGTGCAGCATTCTGCAACACAGGCAAAATTATGAAAATCCCCTGTTTTTTACAGGACCCATTCCCATTGGAAGCTGCATTTTACAGGAATTGCCCTCTGAGATCCCATTCACATCGCTAGGAGCACCTTCCTTAATTGACAGGACTAATCTGTGTACCACACATGTGGGAGCCAGAATTATTGTTGGTTGGTAGGGGATCAAATACTTATTTTACTCACTGAACTGCAACTCAATTTATAACATTTGTATTGTGTGGTTTTTTGTGTTTTTGGTTGCTATTCTGTCTCTGTCATTTAAAATACACCTATGATAAAAATTATAGACCTTTCATTTTTTTGTAAGTGGGCAAACTTACAAAATCTGCAGGGGATCAAATCATTATTTTCCACACTGTAGTGGGGGTTTTCTCAAATTTGACTGTAAAAGTGGGAGTGCACTTTAAGAAGGTTTGTACTCCATAGACAAGTGTAATGAGCCTATAAAGAACAACAAAGAATTGACGAGAGTTACCTTTCTCCACAGAGAGCTGAGCTTCATTGCTGTATCTGGTTTTCACTACGTTAGCTGCTACACATCGATATAATCCCGCATCCCCCGGCTGCACCCTAGAGATCAGCAGAACCCCAGAAGGAAGCTTGACAAACCTACAACGGTACATTTTAGTATAAAAGATGGAAAAGTAGCCTTTAAAAAACATAATATCATTAGAAAAATGACAAATGTTCATACTTCCAGGTCAAGTTGTATCATGTACCACCATTAATGAAAATGTCAGCGCTCTTTTGCAAATGTGGCTACAAGTGTAAATGTTTAGTTGTCCTGCACTTAGCAATTATCCCAAACAGCAAATAAATGGCACAATCCCAGCACGCTTCTGCTAAGATGTTTTGAGTCCACATGAAGCCCAAGCAGAAAATAAGCTCTCATTCACACTGAGCGTTTTGTAGCGCTTTTTCTGATTTAAAAAAAGCCCCCCAAAAATGTCAACTAATTTATATGGCCATGTTAACATCTGAGTGTCATGTTGCTTGTTGCAAAATGCTGGTCGCTTGACGAAAGTACATGAGCTTCTTTTTGGCAGATTGTGCGCCTCTTGGTCCCATAGACTTCAATGGAAATGCTTAAAAACACATTTTTGGTGCGTTTTTGCATATTTTTTACGCTCCTAAAGCACGCATTTGTCTATTCACTTCAATGTGCCATAAGCTGCTCATTAAAACGCGTGACTTTATGTATGCGCGTTTTAAGCACATAAAAGTATGTGAAAGCGTGCTACACAAAATGCGCTGAAAAATCTCATATTTCATGTCACTCAAGTGTGAATGCAGACTATAGGGCACAGCCCCATCACACTTCTCCGGCAGCAGGGGTGCATTAGAAAGTCCAATGCCTAATTCAGGAAAGCCTTTGTGTCAGTTCCGTTTTGACCCCTGCAAACAGATTTGGGTAGTACTTATGTGCTCCACTTTCACAATGTGTCACTATGGCTGCGTCAAGTTCAAAATGAGTTTTGGCGATAAGGAAACTGGAAGAAATTAAGACCAACTCTATGTTGGCGTACAGAGACCAGCCAGAGTGCTCAGAGGGTGGCCGCTGTATATACACTGCATATCAGTAGCAAATAGCAGGGTATGTTAGCATGCTCCACCCCACCTGTCACTGGTTATTAGGATGCTGTTGGCTAAACAGCATCACTGGTTGCCATAATGTGCATTGGTTGCTAGGATGCTGTCAGCTACACAGACCATAAAAACAAATGGGTCTGTGCATGACAGCAGGTGAACATGCACTGACAAAGTGTTCAGTACGGACACACCAGTCTTAGTGCTGGAACCCGCCGTGCCTTCTTGCGACAAATTCATGTATGTGCTGCCGACAGGTACATAAATTAGTTGCGCGGCATGCCAGAGCGTGTACCAGAATTCATAAAGATGTCTGCTACAGACTTCTTGAATTCCACAAAGCCAAAACAGAAAATAAAGGCTGCAATTCCTGCATACTAAAGATATTTTGTGCTCACATGAAGCTAGATGCTGACAAGGACATGTTTTGCACACATGTGATTCACTATGATCGAGTGCATGTGTGTGATACATGTTGAAGATTCTGTTGGTCTCCAGCTTTACCTGGGCTTAATATACAATGTTTAATATCTGTTTGGAATATCACTATAGTAGCTCAATTCAAAACTTCTGCATATGTGCTGTGGAGTTTTTGTTACTTCAAGCCAATGTTCATGGAGTGCTATACTAGACTACTTACCTCTTGCTTGCAGGGAGCTGAACCTGGCCTTTCTGCCATGTGATCTGCGCTGGCGGTGTTCCACTGATGCCACATTCAAATCTTGCCAGGCTGCCCTGATGTACAATCTGAGGATCAGGATGCATGTAAAAAGATGGCAGCCCTTGAGAAAAATATAATATTACTGTTAGGTTCAGTAGGTATGGCAGGTAAAGCTTCACTGACCTGGGTTAAAATGTATTCCAACTTTTATCTAGGTAAATATTCTGTAATGTGATCTGCGAGTGGTCAGCATTTTTGTGTGCCTATTAAAAGAATGTTAGTGTATAATTTGTAATTCAACTATTTTAATGTCTGGTGCAAAACTATAGGGCAAGACTATGGGTTCTATTTGTAATTAATTTGCAGAATGTTGATTATGTGCAAATAGATGCAAAAACAAATGTTCTTCTTAGATATATTTTCATTTCAGATTGAATTTATGTAATGTATTTCTGCATTTTGGCCCCTAAATTGAGCTGAGAAGAATGTATCTGCCATGATCCTTTGTTCCATCTAGTGGCCATAAAGCAGTATTACATTACATACCTTTCGACCTGAAAAGAAATACAGTATATCTAAGAATATTCTTTTTTGCATCTATTCGCACAGAACAAACAGTCAGTAAGATTCACAGGGCAAATCACTCTGCAAATTGGTTATAAACAGAATAATTGGAGGAAATTTTAGCAGTGATATGGACTGGTGCAGTACATCTATGGTCCGCTAAAAGTATAAAAGTGAATGTGAAAGAGAGAGCAGCACTACATAAACTTATTTTCTCCTCATGACAAGTATCATGGAGACCTACACTCAGTTGATGTAGAATTCAGCAGGAATTTTAGTGTGTGCTTGTGTGTGTGTCGACTTTGTAAAATTAACCCTGTAGACACTATGCTGTCTTTGGCATATGATGTGTTGAATTAGATTTTTGTGTATTCAAGACCCCATTTGGGTATAATGTAACAACATTGCAAAAAACAGTGTTACAATGTAACCCCTAGTGAACAGATACAGTATATGTTGTCAGTTTGGTTGGACAACTCTAGTAATATAGCTGACTGTTAGTAGCACACTAATTCTTGTTTTCAGGCCCAAAGTAAAATCAATCAATTAATCAATTATATCGCTTCTGGTATCCAGGAAACACTGCAACTTTGCTAAAGTCAGGTTCATCTTAATCTGAGTCCATATAATTCACAATACCTATGTTATGGCTAGAACATTCTTTTTTACACTGGGAATAATTGGTGTTCTCATAACACCTTCTTAACAGACAAAGAAATTTTCAGCAGTGATATGGCCTGGTGCAGTACAGCTATGGTCTGCTAAAAGTATAAGCAATGGGTACTTAATTGGCCATTCTCAACTAGGGATCAGGGAAACCTTTGGGTTCCGACCAGAGGTTGCTCAAGGTCCCTTGATCTGTGGCTGACTGACCTCCCATTTGAAGGTGCCTGCTTAGTTCTGGGGTCAACGCGGCTTGGCATAACCAGCTGCATGACCAGTGGCGGAACTACCGCCATAGAAACCGATGCAGTGTCAGGCTCGTCCTCGGCACCCCCGGCCGCTCCGGCGCCGCGTCGCTCCGGCCGTGACGTCACGCGGGGCTCCGCCCCCTGGGCTCGACGTGGGTCTTATAAACTCAGTGAAGGCAATCACTCGGCGTTCAGTCAATGTGGAACGTTGAGCGATTGCCTCCACTGTCTCCACTGAACCAGTCCGGCTCCCACACGCTGCTCAGCCTGCAGTGCACTCGGACAGCTCCTCACTACAGTGCCACTCAGCCCTTGGAGGGGAAAGACATTCTCTCGGGGTTAACACCTTAAACCGCAAGTATCAGGTCCCTGGCTCTACATGGGACTACATGTTCAGTTGCCTGAACCTATACTGCTGTAGTATTGCCTGTCTAAGTTAAAAATCTGCATCAATTCCTACTGCTGGAGGATTGCCTGTCTAAAGCTAAATACCTGCATCAATTCATACTGCTGTATCATTGCATGACTATGATATATAATTGGATTAATACATACTGCTGAACTATTGCCTGGTATTGCTGTTAGCTATAGTGAGCCCAGGAGCTGTGGTAGTGTCTGCTGTGATATCAATCTGTAGAATCCCGAGCTGTTTCATGCTACAGTCCCATCAGACCCCGTTCACACTAAAATTAACTTCCCTTAAACATAGGCTGGGATACATGATGTGGAACGGCTTCCTATCGCACTGAGTGTGTAGGGAGTCGCCTGACTGACCCAATCCCATACAGCCTACTCAACAGTTCTGCAGCTGCAGTCCATTCCCCATCAACCCGCTTGATTGTGATATGCGGTCGCTATGGGGCCCTGGATCCCCGCTGCTCTCCCCCGTTTGTATGGGCTGAGGCAGCGGGGATCCGAAAAAGAATGGATGGCGGAGCAGCCGCTGCCGTCCTGAAACTGACAGAAGGAGAGCAGCTCTGTTCTCCTCCCCGCCTGCCGCTTGATAATCGTGATCGATCAGCAGGCGGGGAGGAGAGAAGAGACGCTGTCCTCCTGTCAGTTTCAGGATGACAGCGGCTCTGTGCGTGGCCAAGCGGAGGATCGGTAACTATCATTGATATTTACCGATCCTCCGTGTGCAGCACAAACACTGGAGTGATCGTCTGATCACTCCAGTGTTTGTAAATAACTGGGGACACAGTACTATGTGTCCCCAGATATGAATGAACAGGCTGTGATTTACATCACTTCCTGTTCATTCATGATTTTTTCAATGGGGAGAAGCACTCACTACAGAGGCTTTTCCCCATTGAGAATCTGCTTGATAGTAAATATCTTACTATCAGCACTTTGTGAATGAATGGGAAGCCTCTGTACTGAGTGCTTCCCATTCACTGAGTGCTGAGGCTGCAGAAAAAGACATTGAGGACTCTGTGTCCTCAATGTCTTTTTTTATTTCAAAAGGGAAATGCCAGGGGTCTGTTTAGACCCCTAATATTTCCCCGACACCCCCCCAACAGTAAAATAATAATACATATTGAAAAATAAATTGAAAACTGTGTAAATTAAAAAAAAAGCACAACCCCTCCCCCACACACTCATAACATACACGTGCACCATATTGTGGTGTGTGCCAGGCACATGCGCTGCAGTGCGTTGTTAGAACGCATCGCAGTGCATGATTGTTTTCTTTTGTAAAAAAACATAAATTTAACTGTGGCAGCGCATGGCAAAGCTTTGTGACGCATTGCCGTGCGTTGTGATACCTTGTGTTGTAATTAAATATACGCCTGTATCATTTTATCACAACACAAACACCAACACAGCGCAAAAACCATTTATAACATAAATCGCTTATTTACAGTTTAGCGTTCCTTCATTTTTTTTATAATCCCCCTTTCCTCAGCCTCTCATTGGTGTGGCAGTATTACAGTAAAGTGGTAACCAAAATAGTTGCGCTAGGATATATGGCAAAAATAAAAAATTAGAATTGATTAATTAAATTAAAAGTAAATTAAAAAACCCAACATACAAAGAAAATAAAAATAAAAAATATAAAAATATAAAATATGAAATATGACCAAGGAATCCAGCTGCAGCAATAGCTATCAAGGTGATCAATTATAAACCGGTGTGCTGCGCTTGGTTTTGTGATGCGTGCTATGTTTAATCTTTAAATTATGTGATGCTTGTGATACCACAGACTGAAAGCAGTGCAAGTGGTCGAATCCTACTTGCAACTACAGGTGAAACTCGAATAATTAGAATATCGTGCAAAGTTCATTTATTTCACTAATGCAACTTAAAAGGTGAAACTAATATATGAGATAGACTCATTACATGCAAAGCAAGATAAAAAGTATTACAGTAAAGTGTTAGGCGCCATTCACACCAGGGCAGAAGCGTTTCACTGTGGATTCAGCACGATTTTTGAAAGAGCATTTTTGGCTGTTTTTAGTCGCGTTTCAGAGCTGAAACACAATTAAAAACGCTCAAAAACGTGCTGATCAGCATATTTCTATTAAAATGGGGGTTTCTAGTGTGGGGGGGGGGGCTTAAAATGTTGTGCTATGGGGCCCTGGGATTTCTAGTTACGCCCCTGTGCATGACACCAATTATCTTTTTAGCTGTCTGTAAGGGTGGCAATCTGAGCACCACTGTAGAGTGGAAATTCTTTCCACCACTGGCGGAACTACCAGGGTCGCAGTGGTCGCGTTTGCAACCGAGCCCTAGTGTTCCGCTACAGAAAGGAGTAGAGCCCGGCCCCCGGTAATGAACAACACCAACAGCAGCTGGTCCCAGTCCAATTAATATTGATATACAGTGGTCCCCCTCTCCCCGGATCCCCCGCTGAACTGATAGCAGAAGAGAGGGGACTATTTTACCATTTTCAGCTGCCATGGAGGAATACCGAGAGCTGTGGCAGCCGACAATTAACTCTTAGTGCCGGCCTGCACAGGATCGTCTCTGTGCTGTGGCTATCAATCTGCCTCAGCGTGCAGAGTGATATCAGGAGGGGGAGAAGCTGGAACAGGTGAGAGGAAAGACAGTAAAAAGCCATACTGAAGTTTTTTAATAATGAATAGTAATATCTGCTTAGGCAGCAGTATTAATCTACCCCAAGGATAATTTATTATTGCTGTGGGGAAGGAGGGTGATTATTATTGCTGCCTGGGGGTTATTTTTTATTAACTCCTGATTATTACCAATTCTCCCCCAGGCAGCAATAATAATTACCCCCCTTCCCCGCAGCAATAATAAATTATTATCTTACTATTTATTATTATCTAATAAATTATTATTGCTGCGGGGAAAATGGAGTTATTATTGCTGCCTGGAGGTTATTTTAAAAAAACGCAATTATTTTTTTTAAACGTATTGCGGTACCATGCGTTGCGCTCAAACCCATTGTGGCCTGGAGGTGCGTTTCGGGTTCCATTCAAATGACTATAACAAATGATCGGTGTGTTGTGCGGTAATGTGTGTTATTCACATGGGAACGTGTGATTAACACACAAGGGGCCCTGTCTGGGAGAGGGGGCCCATTATGGTTTCTTGCAGCGGGGCCCTGAGGTTTCTAGTTACGCCTGTGCTTCCTACTAGACAGCAACATAAGGGGCATTTTCCCACTGACCACCAATGAATTGGTTTTGGCAAGGGTTCCCCAAGACCAAAAAATGATTTCAATGGTTCCCCTGGAGTAAAAAGGATGAGTATGAGAAAGACTGACATTGGTTTATCTCTAGGTCAGTAGGCCATGTATCAAACGCAATCATAATAGGACAATGATCTCAAGAATTGTTTTGTTGAAAGCAGAAATATTACAAAAAGTAAACCATTAACATTGTACATCACCTCATAATGAATTCCTATTCAAATTCTGTGTTTTAAAGGTCGGGATATTTGTGTTCAATTACTGCAATCGGTAAGCTCATAAATCTTTGTCAGTTATGCTGTTGACATCTAACCGCCAGTCAATTTACCTTGCATGTGTTAATGCCTTTACAAGGACACATTGGGTGTAGTTTAAACTTCATTTACAGCTTTTACATAATGTGTCCTTTAGCATCCGATTATGGTCAGGGCTCCCTAAGGCTGGACACAAAAGGGCAAATGTAACATCTATTTAATAAAAGAAATCCAAACATTATAGTGGTGGATGTTCCACATGGTACTAGCCTTACATTTTTCTGCCAACTCTGGGTTTTTATTAATGTGTGTACAGTAAAAAAGGTAAATCCTAATTCTGTAGGGAATGGGTTCATAATTTTAAAGTTGAGCAGCAGCATTTTTTTGACTAGGGGATTCAGTCGCGATGCCTTAGGACCTCTGTCAGGATTTTTATGTTGTAATGGCAGGATGAGAGCGCAGCAATGACTAGATACTGTAAGTCCAGTAAAGGCTTTTGTTAAATGGGGTTTAAGGTAGAAATCCAATGCGTTTTGTGGTTTCACACTCTCCCTTCTTCAGGGCTTGTGTGCTGATAGTAAGTTCAAATCTGTCCTAGACTGTAACTGTCTAAAGAAAATGTATACCCTAGCGATCAGGCGCCAGTGTGACCGCACTACCTACGTGTAAATGATGAGTTAAAATCGCCAATATAGCATGAGGAACTGGACCGTGTAGGGAGTGGAGTAGCAGCAGGGAATAAGCAGTGTCTACACTAGGAGATGTGAGCCCCCGAAACGCATAGGACTTCTACTTTTCCATCCTGTTAAAGTGACACTAAACTCAGGAGTTAAATCTTAAAAATACATTCAAGTACCTTAACTATTAACAAAAATGTATCTTATTTGTGTATCACTCGGCTGTAGATCCTCAAATCATCTCTGAATTGGTGCTGACACTGTCCTTCCTTCTGGAGGGGGGCTACTTTTGTTCCCCATGGTCCCTGTGTGTGTTGTAAACCGCTCCAAACTCGCCCCCGTGATGGACTACAATCTCAATTCAAATTGGTAAACTAAACATCAGACTGTAGTCCATCACAGGAATGAGCTTGGAGTGGTGGCTACTTTACAACACACACAGGGACCATGGGGAACAAAAGTAGCCACCCACCAGAAGGAAGACAGTGTCAGCACCAGTTCAGATATGATTTGAGGATCTACAGCTTATATCACCTCTGATTCAGTGTTGTTAATAGGTAGGGTATGTGAATGTATTGATAAGATTAAACTACTGAGTTAAGTCTCACTTTCATCAAAACTAGGGATGCACCGATATATCAGCCGCCGAAAAACATATCTGCCGAAAATTGCACTTTTGGCATAATGCCGAAAGAGTTATGTTATATCAGCGCATCCCTGGTTTATTTTCTCCCCGCTGGGCGCTGCTCTGTGTTCCAGCGGGGAGAAAAGAAAGTGACAGCCGGCCGAATGCTGCAGGACGAGAGCGATGTGAGCGGCCGGCGTCTCTCCTCCCACACCGCTCAGCCGCCTATCACAGTCCGGCAGAGCGGTGTGTGGGCGGAGACAGCCAGTGCTGTCACAGGAGGCTGAGCTCTCCTCCCACAGCGCTCAGCCGCCTATCACAGTCCGGCAGAGCGGTGTGTGGGCGGAGACAGCCAGTGCTGTCACAGGAGGCTGAGCTCACCTCCCTGCTCCGCTCGATTAGCCTCTGTGACAGCGTGTCAGAGAGGAGAGCGAGCACAAACACTCAGCGATCAGTGATCGCTGAGTGTTTGTAGATAATTGAGAACATGGTATGTCAACTATATCCTCAATTATGAATGAATGGGAGTGATCTGCATCACCTCATGTTCATTCATAGTTGTAGGTATAGTAAATATACCATGTTCTCATGTTATCAATGAACAGGAACACTCATTCCTGTTCATTGATAACAGGGGAGACAGAAAAAGAGATTGAGTACTTTGTGTCCTAAATCTTTTTTTCTATTTTAAAAGGGAAACATCAGGGGTCTGTTTAGACCCCCAATATTTCCCCGAAGCCCCTAAAAGCAATGTAAAAAAAAAATATTTAATAAAAAATGAATTCATAAATATAAAAAAATGTAAAAGTTTATAAAAAATAAATAAAATATTAAAAAGATTGTAAAAAATTAAAATAAAAAAAATTTCTGTATCGGTTTCGGCCTGACAATTTTTTTTATTTCGGTTTCAAAATTTCCATTTCGGTGCACCTCTAATCAAAACATTTACTGGACTTAACCAATTGTTGAGGCGCTCTCATCCTTCCAAAACTCTCCACACTTCTCCGGGACTCTTTGGGATACCCCTGTTGACAGGGAGCTGCCTTAATTAAGAATAAAAATCTAGACTTTGGACTACGTCTTCTTGTCCACTCAAAGGGTCCAGCACTCCTACAATACACATCGACTTTGCAGGTTTTTTATGCAGTCGGTGTGATTTCCCCACGCTCTGTGAGTAATTGCAAGGGACAAAGACAGTCAAGAAATTTGAAAGACGTTCTAATTCTTCCCCACTCCAAAAAAGTTTTATCTTATTTTACTTTAATTTGGTGTACAGATTTTTGTAACACAAATGTATGTAACCTATGTGGGAGATTATTGTTACACCTAAACACTTTATCACTTGTTTAGTGCTGGGTGGACTCTGGGTGGTCATGAAAATGTGTTTGTGCATTTTGTGCTTAAATTGTCATTAAACACACATTTTTTTATGTGTATAGATACTTAAAAGTTTGTTCTGTACCTTGTGGCAGAATTGTATACAAGAAAGATAAAGAAAAGCGGGGCTTTAAAAGTGTCCAAACCATTGTATGGTTTGGACACTTTTAAAGCCCCGCTTTTCTTTATCTTTCTTGTATACAATTCTAATTGGGGGTGTGGTGCCTATCCCTAATGGTTCAATTCAATTTTTATGCTTTAAACCTTGCGGCAGAAGCTTTCTATCATCCAAGTTGTCAAGTTTAGTACATACCTGGTTGATCCTGCTGTTTCCATATACTTTCTTAATGTTGCTGGCAAAGCAATAGCAGCCTATCAACTGGCTGTTGCGTTGCATGGGTGTGGGGGGGACATGTGTGAAGGGGGTGAATGCGGGAAATGGAAGTCCAGGATCGGGAAAGAAGTAGTACTTAAGGAACTATAAGAGTAATATTGTCTAAAAATAAAATTATTGAGACCCACCTGCTAGTCTTATTGTACCCATTCTGCCCTTCACAACTCCAAAGGAATTCCGATACATGCAGGAGTACCTTCCCTCGACGCTTGACCCTGCACCTTGTGATAAACGCAGCCCTCCATTAGGAAGCACAGTGAGGTTTTCTGTGTTTAGTGTCTCTCCATTCTTCCACCAGGTGACATTGGTGTCTCTCTCTGTGTTACCAACGTCGCAGTGCACAATGGCTTCCTGTCCAGGCAGGAGTACAATGTCATTGGGACCAGGGTGGCAGCTGAGGTCTAACCAGGTGCTCTTTCCTGCAAGAGAGCCAAAAATAAATAAACAGACTCATTACCAACTGTAGCGAAAAGTGCTGATCATGTCACACAAAATATGCTTTGAAAAATTTGTATTAATGGAAAAACTAAAGAACATTGGTATTAATGGGAAAACAAGTTGCATTTGCATTTTTACTTTGTACCCTACCCAATATACTGAAATGCAAAAGATCTTTCTTTAACCAGTTGACATCCGCGGTGTTAAACCCCCTTCCCATCCAACAAGGTGAGGGGTTTGCGGACGCAAACGAGCACATATAGGCGATCGGCGGGCTATGGACCCGCTGATCGCCTATATGTGAAACACCCGGTACCGGGTGTTCGCATTGGACGGGTCTTTTCTGCCCGTGCGTGCCCGCTAGGGGGCGCGCGCGAGCAGAAAAAAAATGCCGTCTGGCGACGGCAACCCGCCAATGCGACAGTGCCGTCCGTCCGTTTTTCTACTACGGGCGGACGGCAAGAGGTTAAGCAGCCAGTCTCTTGATAACTGATAATTCTGTTTCAGTACAATACTAGTATCGGTATCTGTGCCAATACCGAGTATTTGGGCGAGCACTCGTACTCACCCAAATGCTCCCAATGCCTATACCGATACCAGAATTTCCGGTATCAGGAAGTTGGGCGGCGAGTCATTACACACTGCCCAGCTTTCTGATTGGCTGGGAATCCGGCTCCATGCTCCCTCGTCACGAAGGAGCATGGAGCTGGCTTCCTGGCCAATCAGGAAGCCGGGAGGTGGGTAATGACTCGCCCCCCTGGCTTCCTGATTGGCCGGCTCCATGCTCTCTTGTCACTTGGTCGTGATTGGTCGGGAAGCTGGCCAATTAGGAAGTCGGGCAACAATTACCCGCCCCCCTGGCTTCCCGATTCGCCACAAAGCGGACTCTATTCTTCCTCGTCACATGGTGACGAGGTAGCATGGAGCCGGCTTCCTGGCTAGTCGGGAAACTGTGCGGCAACTCATTACACGCCGCCCGGCTTCTTTAATGGGACTTGCGGTATCGGTATTCGGTATCGGCAAGTACTGAACAAAAAATATTGGTACTCATACTCAATAGCAAAAAAGCGATATCGTTGCATCCCTATTATCCTTTGTGGCTACCAAGGAATATATTTACATTACGTTTTTTTGTTCCCGGAGTTAAGCTTCAATCTTTTATGGTCAAGGCAAAAATAAAAAAAACAAAACTCTGCACTGTTTTGCATATCTTGCTACATTACAAGATGTATTTCATGGCAGGTGACAGTTTTTGCATTTTTGCCCAATAATTTTCAGCTTAAATGAGAAGTGTGTGCAGTCCATGAGGTTGTAATGTGTTACTAAGATACATGAAAATTTCATCATTGCGTGCATCTGTGCATAGCAGCTATTTATCTACTCTTCCCTTGTGTTTGCATATAAATTAACTTTATGAGCATTTTTTATGCCTTCAGTCTTCATCTAAGTATCTATTTCGATACCCATAATTCTAACTCTATAATATAAAGCATAAGTATATATGACAGTTACTGCTTACACCATATGACACGTTTGACATCAGCTCTAATTTAAAATGTAGAACTGGCACAGGAAGATGCAAAGCTGCATCAGTAAATGGGGTTGTTTTCCACTTTGGTTAACATCTAAAAGTAGTTGGTTTGTACTGGTACATTACTGGCCATGGATTGGAAATAAGTAACTGTGGATATGGAAAAGAATTGTAATATAAAGAGTATCTATGATCAAAAACTAAAAATAAATTAGTCTTTCTATATTGCATTTCCATATGTTCTATCCCTCCCCTAATAACATATAGAAGTTGGTAGTTGTAGTTCAGAAGGCAAAGTTAGTTAGAGTTTGTGATACAAGGAAGTGCATATTCACAGGGCTGAGTGAAATTGTGTCAGAGCATTCAGGAAATCCAACCTATGGGCATCTTCAATAGGTAAGTTTACAAAGTTCTAGATCAATATGGTTATTAGGAGTGGGAAATTCAGTACAGAAGCACATATATTTTTATTTTTTGACCATAGATACCCTGTAAGCTTATTTGCATGCAGGACCATTTCGGCCAAATCGCAGTTCGAACAGAACAGTTACTCGTTCGTGTTCATACCGCGGCCCACCATTTAGGCTGCATTCACATCAGCAGCTCCACTACAGTGCACAGCTGCTGATATGTGCTCCCAGACACAATGCTGATGTGCTTATTCCGGCCCATCACACTGTTTTTTTATTGTCTTATTTCTCTGTTCGAAAGCCACCTCCGCGTTTACATACACATGCATGCCCTACACACTGATTCAAGACTCTGGTGGGCCATGGGCAAAAATATAATAGTGGGCTCTCCCTTCAACCTCCCTCACCTCCCACCTACATAGGTCACACAACATGAACAATATAATATAACATAAATAAGACTGACTCGCTAAGGTCATTTTGGTAGCAGTAAATAAGTAAACAATGCATAGTATGCATATAAGTGAGCAGAGTTCAGTAGTAAATAACACACAGTTCAGTAGTAAATAACACACAGTTCAGTAGTATATAACACAGAGCTCAGAAGTAAAGAGCGCAGAGCTCCAGTAGTAAAGAGCGCAGAGCTCAGTAGTAAAGAGTGCAGAGCTCAATAGTAAAGAACATAGTGTTCAGTAGTAAAGAATGCAGAGCTCAGTAATTAAGGACACACAGTGCTATTCACAAAAGGCAGGAGAAGTGAACAATCTAGGCCAAAATAGCTGATTTGGAAACAATTCTCCAATTCAGCTCACTTTCCAGTTCAGCTATGTTGTCCTAGATTGCTCACTTCTCCTGCCTTCTCCAAACTCTTCACCCTTTTGTGAATAGCCCTGACAGTGTTCAGTAGAAAATAAAACAGAATTCAGAAATATAAAATGCACAGTTCAGTAGTAAATAACACAGAGCTCAGTAGTAAATAACACAGCTCTCAGAAGTAAAGAACGCAGAGGTCAGTAGTAAACAATGCAGAGGTCAGTAGTAAAGAACGCAGAAGTAAGTAGTAAACAATGCAGAGCTCAGTAGTAAAGAATGCTGCTCTACATAGCAAAGAACACAGAGCTCAGTAGTAAAGAACTCAGCTCTAAGTAGCAAAGAGCGCAGAGCTCAGTAGTAAATAACTCAGTTCTAAGTAGCAAAGAACACAGAGCTCAGTAGTAAAGAACTCCGCTCTAAGTAGCAAAGAACGCAGAGCTCAGTAGTAAAGACATCAGCTCTAAGTAGCAAAGAGCACAGAGCTCAATAGTAAAGAACTCAGCTATAAGTAGCAAAGAATGCAAAGCTCAGTAGTAAAGAACGCAGAGCTCAGTAGTAAATAACACAGAGGATATGGCACTTACCCCCAGGAAGGGTCCTCTTCCTATCATGGTGTCCCCCTGTGGGATAGAGTATGTAACGCTGCCATCTATAACCTCCAGCTGGTACCTGGGCCGGTGTTCTATCACAGATTGTGACTGCGTTAGAATGTGTGACCGGGGACGTGATAACGCATTCTAATGTAATCACATCCATTTTTTCGGCGGTGGAATGTATGACCAGTCACGTGGTCACACATTCTAACGTAGTCACGCCCATTTTTTTCCGGGGTAAAAATGTGGTGTGACCAGCAAAAGGTGTAGAATTCAAAGCTTTCTCAGCTGTTCCCGGGCAGATTGGCATCGCAGATGGTATGTGCAGGAGAACCGATCTGCCCTGGAACAGCTGATCGGTCCTGAAATCTCACTTCTATCCAACTTTGTGAGTGCAATACAAAGTCGGATAGGAGTGAGATTTCAGGACCGTGTGTCACCCGACAGCCTATCTTCCTACAGGCCATGAAAAACTTAAAGGGACATTAAACTCTCAGATTCTTTAACATAAACCAATACTGTAATGTGCGCCTTACTGTAATCCATGGCTGTTTCCCTTCTCTTTTCTGCTCTTCCTTTTAAATCTGTATCTGTTCACATGCTGGGCAGAACTTCTGTTTTGCAGCAGACTGCCTTGTCTCAGGAATGGATATATGGTGTCGGTGTATAGGTTTGTAACCTGAGCCAGCACTACAGGAAGAGGCCCTGAGCTGCAAAGGGAAGTTCTCCCCTAGCATGAGAAGACATGAGGATTTAAAAGGAAGAGCAGCAAAGAGAAGGGAAACTACCATGGATTACAGTACGGCACACATTACAGTATTGGTTTATGTTAAAAAATCTGAGGGTTTAGGCTCTGTTCACACCTAGGCGTATCGAAAATGCGCATTTGTCACGCGTTTCGTGACGCGCGTTTTTACCACGATTCGCGGTAAAAGAAGCGCGCGTTTCCGAGGGCTACGTGGCTGTATCCCAATGGAAACGCACGACAAAAACGCCCCAAAGAAGCTCATGTACCTTTTCAGGCGTAGGCCGTTTTGTAGCGCGTTCAGACGGGCTGAAATACGGCAAGGTGTGAACCATACCCATAGAAAACAATGGGATTTTCATGTTTGAGCTTTTTGTAGAGCGTTCATAGAGCGTTGAAGGCACTACAAAACGTACAGGTGTGAACCAGGCCCTAATGTCACTTTAAAGTAAACAAGTGTTATGTGACCAAGCCGAGTTCCCTGGTAGCGGCAGTGGCGGTATTGTCAAAACACTGCAATGTTGTCAGGAGAGCATTGAAATCAGATTATATTTATCATACATCCTCTTTTTGACCTATAGTTTATTATGCTCCCATTGCCATGTGGAGGTGAGAGTGTCTACCTGTTGCATCCACAGACAGAGATAGGATACATATGTGAGTAAAAGTTGGAGGATGTTTTGGCTGCAGAATTGTTTTACTAAATCTTGATTTGAAGAAAGCAGTACTTCTGCAGGCTGCCAGTACTGACTCCCTTGTAAAAATGCTAGTTCCCTGACTGTCTCTGGCCTCACTACTTACTGAGCCACCAGAACAAGCATGATGAAGTCAGGACTTATATACATACTTCTCTCCTTTAAAGATCTACAGACAATGTCACAGACAAGTCTAACCAAA